AGAGAGACATCGTGCTTGGAAGGTTGGAGGGATAGGGCAAGAGAGGAAGTCCCTGGAAGAGAGGGATTGACAGATACAGTAACTAGGGTAGGCGAGACAGGAAGAGTGGCCCAGGATAGAGCGTGGTTCAGAGCTGTTGTGCATGGGGGCATTATGAGTCACAAGTGACTCAACGGTACATAACAACAACCACAACCTTTCTCTTTGACCTAGTGAGTATTGTGTTGTGTTGCCAAACCAAAGGAAAGATGGTTCAAGCCACAGATGGTCCATGGAAGAAAGATAGGCAGTCTCCTCCTCTTCTACTGACAGTCTCTAAAACCCCCTGGGGGGGACAGCTTCCGACTCAGTAGCAATATGTTGAATTGCTTAGCTTTCTCTTTTTGTCAGTGTTGACAGAAGTATGTCTATCTTATTTAGTCTTCTTAAAACATCAGTTTGCTTTCTCAAAAAGTTGCAAATAGAGATACCATTTGACCCAGCAATTCCACTACTGGGAATATACCCCAAAGAGACCATAATTGACATCCAAGCAGATACATGCACACCCATGTTTATCGCGGCTTTGTTCACAATAGCAAGGAGTCGGAAACAACCTAAGTGCCCATCAACAAGTGAATGGATAGAGAGCTGTGGTATATTCACACAATGGAATACTATGCTGCATTGAAAAACAAAGAACTCATGCAATATTATTCAAAATGGGTGACCCTGGAGGACATTATGCTGAGTGAAGTATCTCAGTCACAAAAGGACAAATACTGCATGGTGCCACTGTTGTAAAACAGGACTGACCTCGGGGTTGGGGGGAGACTGAGAAAGATGGGTTCAATAGTGTATACTGCATTGAAACAGATGAGGGAGAAAACTGTGTAAAAGGGATGTGTGATTAGGTATTTTTGTCATGACAGAAGTCCAGAGCAAAAGCTACATACATGGTCAAGTGGACCTGGGAGAGGGTTTGTAAAACAATGAAAGAATTTTTCTTTTACTTTTCCAAGAGTGTAGTGTACTAGGGGGGAGGGATGGGAGGGGAGAAAAGTGCAACAATGAATGAATGGAAATCCAAAGTCTCTGTACATTTTCACTGAAATTAATAATAAATTTTAAAAATATATGCACATCAGGGGAAAAAAACCACAACAGTTTTGATCCAAGATTTCAAAAATAACTTCTAGCTATCCTATCTCTGTGTGAGGTGGCTGTCCCATATCTCCATGTGAGGTGGCCATCCTGTCTTCATGTGAGGTGGCCGTCCTGTCTCCGTGTGAGGTAGCTGTCCTATCTCCGTGTGAGGTGGCCAGTAGCCATCCCATCTCCATGTGAGGTGGATGTCCCATCTCTGTGTGAGGTGGTCGGTAGCTGTCCCATCTCCATGTGAGGTGGTCAGTAGCCGTCCCATCATCTCCATGTGAGATGGCTGTCCTGTCTCTGTGAGGTGGCCATCCCATCTCTGTGTGAGGTGACTATCCCGTCTGTGTGTGAGGTGAATGTCCCATCTCCATGTGAGGTGGCTGTCCTGCCTCTCTGTGTGAGGTGAATGTCCCATCTCCATGTGGCCATCCCATCTCTGTGTGAGGTGACCGTACCGTCTCTGTGTGACCTAGCCGTCCGTCTCCATACCTCCTCAAGGCTCTGGTCAGAAGGATCAGTAAGCACATCTCTGCTCTGCCACAGGCTAGCTGTGTGACCATAAATATATGACTTTACCTCTCTGAGTTTCCTTGTCTGTAAAGTAGAACTGGTAATCCTTCTTCCTGTAATAGTTGGGAGGATGGAACCAGGAAATTTGCATGAAGCATGGGAACTCCATGACACAGCAAGTGTTCAGGGCATGTTAAGTCCTGTCTCTGTGCCTTTTTGCTTTGCCCTTTGCCTGAAATTCCCACTTCCTAGGCCCTTGCTTGTCTGTTTGCTGTGTTGTGGTTACTTGCACGTGGCTGTGCTGTTGGAAACCATGCCAGCAGTATTTCAAAAAGCAGCAGGGTCACCCGGGGATGGACAAGGTCCATTTCAAGTCTTAGCTTCCAGATGAAGACAGACTAAGAAGAGGAACTGGCCATCCACTTCTGAACTAGCAGGCCCTTGAGACCCTCTGAATAACTGGAACATGGCTCAGTATAGTGCTGGACACTCGATGTACAACTTAAGAAGAGTTGCCTCCTCAAAGCAGAGTCAGGCGTCAGTGATAGGGACTGACACAGTGACTGCAGTAACCAGCTTGAGCATGGCAGGGACATGAGGCTGGCATGGGTAGGGCAAGTTTGGGTGTCTTATTCACAGGGTTGCTGTGAGTCATAGCCGAGTCCTTGGCACCTAACACCAATAGTGGTGCATGTGAGCACATGAGTCCTGAGTGAGGCAAACAGTGTGTTCAGCTGCTAACTGAAAGTTCACCCAGAGGCCCCTCAGAAGACAGACTTAGAGATCTACTGACGAAAAACCAGCCACTGAAAACCTTACGGGGCCCAATTCTAGTCTGACGTGTGTGTGTGTGTGTGTGTGTGTGTGTGTGTGTGTGCGCGCGCGCTCCAACTCATAGCGGATGTGATGACAAATGAACTGGTTTCTTCAAGCAGGCAGAGCTCCCACTCAGCCCGGGGCACAGGCTGCATGCTCTGCGGGGCGGCCCAGCACTGCCTTTCTAGGCTGGTTCTCCTCCCTGCTCATTCTCATACTTCCCAGAGGCTCTACCCACCGTGGTCAGGTCTCCGCTTCCTCAGGGACGTCTTTCTTGTCCTTTGAACATACATACATGCCATTCATGCATCTCTTAACACATCTTCTTTTACCTGATGTGTCAGTTACTTTGCGGAAACCCTTATCAGTTCAACGGGATTAACCTGTGGACGTTAAAGGGTTGTGGTTTAGCAGTCTTTAGACCCTCATGCTGCCTGCAGGGCTCAGTAGATGTTAGTGGTATGCATGATTGAGTATCAAATGTGGGAGCTAAGAGCCTTGGACATTGTGTGAACTCAGCGCGGGCAGTCATTAGCCGCAGGCGTGATGTGAGTGCTCAAGTGAGAAGGTGACAAAAGAAGACGAAACTAGATGATGGTGGTGACAAGGATGATGATGGTGATGATGGCAGTGATGGTGACGGTGTAGGGGACAGCAATGCTGATAGTGACAGTTGTAATAGTGGTGGTAGAGGTGATGGCAGTGATGGTGAGAATAGTGACACGGGTGGCGGTGGTGACAGTAAAGATAAGGTCACAGTAATGACAGTAGTAATAGTGACAGTGACCACAATGATGGCAGTGGTGGTGAGGGTGACAGGAATAGCAATGGAAGTGATCGTGGCAAGGACAGTAATGTGATGGTGACAATGACAGTGACAAAGACGGAGGCGGGAACCATGGTGGTGATGAAAGGGACCGCTTCCTTAGCTCGCCTGGTGCCAGGCGCTGTGCTGGACACATTCATGGTTCATCTCACTGTGTACTTGAAACAGCGCGATGGGATCGGTCCTGCTGTGGTGGCCCATGTTGTGGCCGAGGAAGCTGGGCACTGGCTGCTGGTGCAGCACCGGGCCTGGCTGGCCTTACCTCACAGTCTGCACTCGCAGCTATGACGACAGGCGGTCTCCTCCAGAGGCCGTTTATTGAGGACTCCCTCCATCCCAAGCGTGTTGTCTCTGACTGCACACCAAATGCTTCACGATTGGGGTAGCCTTGCTTTGCAAATCAGGCAACAGAGGTAACTCGCCCAGGATTATTCCAGGTCAAGACGGTTCTGTCATGATGACAGAAACAGGGAGTGTGCACATGGCACAGCCACCAGATTGGTGGCACAACAGATTTGGGCCACGTGGTGCCCTGCTCAATGATGGCGGCTGACACAATTCAGATCAGTGAGGTCGGCCACCAGCTTTGATCAGGGCACCACCGCTGCTTCCCAGCAGCACAGAATGACAGGCACAAGAGCCCTGGTTACTTTGCAGCATGTTCACTGCCTTGTGTCCATAGGCCATGACCAAAGCACTTTTAGCTGGTTCAAAGCCATGGTTTATACACAGCGAAACTAGTGGATCCAAGATTAAAACCATACCTCTGAGCCCCCAAAGCCCATGACTTTTCCTTTATATCATGAGCCGCAAGTAAACTCTTGCAGCTGGAAGGGAGGAAGACTTAGGTTGGGAAATGAAAGATGGTAAGGATAGAAAGCACAGGTTAGAACAGGGTTCAGATCTGCTGTTCATAGGGTCACGATGTGTCCTCCTCAACTCATCAGCACTAACAACAAGGCTAGGAAGGAGTCCATGGGCAGTGCAAGCCATTAACATGCTCAACTACTAATCCAAAGGTTGAAGGTTCAAATCCACTCAGAGATACCTTGGAAGAAGGGCCTGGAATCATACTTTAAAATCAAAAGCCCAGCCATTGAAAAGCCTGTGGAGCACAGTTCTCTGACACATATGAGGGTGTCCTGGGTCGGGAGATGATTCCACAATTGCTGGCAGGATGGAAAGGCGGACCAGCCTCAGGCTGCAGGGGCCTGGCCTCCCAGGGTGGGTGATTAGGAACCAAGCAGTGTCTTCCATTGGAGGGTGAGGTGGGTGGCCTGGGGAACCCAAGCTGCCTGGACCTCTGCCCAGCTGGGCACTGGGGATGCCCAGGGCTTTGCACAGCTGCTGGGAGAGTAGAGCCCAGGCCTGCTGGGAACATGGCATTCAGCAGATCTGAGACTCTGTAAACACTTCCCTCGCCTTGCATCACAGCAACTCCAGCTCCTGGCTTGCTGCCCTTCGGCTTCAGGACCAACTTTCCTCAGCCTCCTGATCCTTTGGTTTCTGACGAGCTGTTGCAAAGTTCCCAAGCTGGGGGGGTGGGGGGGGCAGCGGGGATGCTCCAAGGGTGAGGTGCAGCAGCCCAGCCTGCCCCCTCCAGGGCTCAGATTGGATAAGAGATGGCAGGTGGCTCATGGCCACCAGTAACCCCAGGGTGATCTGGTTGCATCTGATGTCATGATGTGTTTCTCTGGTGCCCTGCCCTACCCAGGTCATTGCTGTGGTCATGGATGATTTCACCGATGGTGACATCTTCAAAGACATCGTCGATGCTGCCTACAAACGCCGGGTCCCAGTGTACATCATCTTGGACGAGGCAGGAGTGACGTCCTTTCTGGAGATGTGTCGGACTCTGGAGCTCACCGACTTCCGCATCCGGGTGTGTGCCCCACCTAGAGATGAGACTCTGCCCCAGGACCCCGTGTCTGTCCCCTCCTGGGTTCAGGGGACTTCAGAGTCTCAATCCCCTTCCCTCCTGTCTAAATCGAGCTCGTGATGAGCAGGTGACCGCTACGTCCTGTGCCCACTTTCCGTTGTCTCCAAGGCTGATGGAGACCGCGCTGCCCACACCTCAGATCACTGTCACGCCCAAAGCTCTGGCCCTCGGGTCGGCCTGTGGGGACACTTGGGAGCAGACAGGGACCACCCTTAACTTGTCCACCCCCAACGGGAGACTGTGTGAAACCTCAGTCTCGGGGCTGCTGTGAGGCTACGGGAGGCAGAGAGTCAGTGAGGACAGGAGCCAGAGGCAGGTCCCAGGGGCACACCTGGTCCACACCAGCTGACTGCCTCTCTCTGCTTCTCAACAGAACATCCGAGTCCGCTCTGTGACCGGCGTGGGCTTCTATATGCCCATGGGGAAGGTCAAAGGCAACCTGTCGTCAAGGTTCCTGATGGTGGACGGTGATAAAGTAGCCACTGGGTCTTATAGGTGAGTGGGGCCAGGTGAGAGAAGAGCCCGTGAGGCCTTTATCCAGAGTGGCTGTTCTGAAAGATTCCAGGCGGAAGCCATCAAGGTCACAAGTCTAACAGACATCTTCTGACCTGATGACCAAGAACCTCCTGACCAGTCCTTCCCCTCAACCTCCGGGATTCTGGGGGATCCCAGAGAGAGAACCCCCCTAAGTCTTCCTGAGCATTAGCTCTAGCGCCCCTGTCTGGGTGAACAGTTCACCTGCTCAAATGCTAACTGAAAGATTAGAGGTTCAAGTGTATACAGAGATGCTGAGGAAGAAAAGCCCGGGTGTTCCACTCCTGAGAAATCTGGTCTTGAAAACCCTGTGGAGCCCCGTTCTTCCTGGCACATGTAGGGTCACCTTGAGCTGGCATCGACTTGACAGCCACAGTGCTACTTCTCGTGGTCCACAGCAACTAGTCACATATCAAGGCTAGTTGTCGGGTAAGACATGCAGGAAGGAGAACGGATCAGATCTGAGTAGGACTCATGAAGACGTGCACAGAGGGAGCGACAGCCAGGCAGGCTTCAGATTTGACGTGAAATCGGCAGAACGTGTGAACTTGTGTCTGTGGAGACCCTGCCCCCCAATTAATTTAAAATCTAGATGGGACAAGTCCTGGCCACGTGAAACGGTTCATAAATGACATCACATCCTCTTCCTCGGTGGTGGTAGATGTTGTTGCTAGGTGCTGGCAAGTCGAGCACAGCTCGTGGGGACAGATCTGGACCCTGCTCCGTCATCACCATCTCTGATAGGTCCCAGGTCACGATGTCCATCCCTCTTGTTGAGAGGCCTCCTCTCTTTGTCTGACCCTCCACCAGTCCCAGTCTGATGCCACTGTTTCAAAGACTCCCTCCTGACAACCTACCCCAAGTAAACAAGACAAACTTTCACCACTCTTGCCTCCTTGGGACACCCTGGTGGCACTTCCTTCAAGGCAAGCCTGTTCTTGTGGCAGTCCGTGGGGTATTCAGGTCTCTTTGCCAGCACCACACTTTTACGGCATTGACTCTTCTTCAGTCGTCTTTATTCATTATCTGACTTTCCAATGCATAAGGAACAATGAACTTGCCATGACTTAGACCATCCTCACCTTGGTCTTGAAATTGATTGCCCTTTACTTGGCCAACGTATAGGATTTTGCACATTCTGCAGGATCTGGAAATCCCCCTGAGGCCTAATAAGGGGAGTGGCATTAACAGTAGTAGCAGCTGTGGTTGTTACGTATCAAATGTGCGTTGTGCGCCAGGTACGAGCTAAACGTTTTATACCAGTTATTTCACTCATGCCTCGCGACAACTCTGTGAACGCAGGTCCTCTTAGCCCCCTTTCACACGCGATCCAAGGGTGACGGTAGTAGTTTTAGATGCCCCGGAGCGACAACAAACCTGTGAATGAAACACCACCTGGTGCTGCACCGTCTTCACCCGCGTTGCTACATTTGAACCGTTGTTACAGCCCCTGTGGCCGCCCATCTCACAGGGGGTCCTCTCTTTTTCCTGACCCACCCCCCCACCTTCCCAAGCATGATGTCCTTCCCCAGGAGCTCAACCTTCCTGACCACATGCCCACAGTATGTGAGACACCATCCTCCCTTACAGCTTCACTTTATCCGAGGCAGAGCTGTCCATTCTTGGGGCAATCTAGAATCAGTATTCAGGCTGACACCATCATTCACAGGCCTCGGTTCTTCTTTGGTCTTCCTGACTCATTGTTCTGTGTTAGAAGTTATATGAGCCAGAGGCAGAAACATCAAATGTCAGAAGAAAGCCCAGATCTGCCTTCCCATACCCTTGCCCTTTGAACTGAGGACCAAGACATGGGCACACATAGGGTCGGGGCCAGTGGAGGGTGAGCTGTCACTGCCAAGGTCCCAGCAGAGAGGAATCTGAAATGTCCATTCAGGCTGGGGCGGGGCAGCAGCAGCTCTCAGCGGCCTTGCCAAGGGCAGGCTGGCCAGCGGGCCTGGGCAGGTGTGGTGGCCTGGGGGCCCAGAGACACAGAGACACGTGTTTTGCTTTCCTGTCCATGTCCCCAGGTTCACCTGGAGTGCCTCCCACGTGGACAGGAACCTCCTCCTTCTCCTGACGGGCCAGAACGTGGAGCCCTTCGACTTGGAGTTCCGCGAGCTGTATGCCATCTCCGAGGAGGTGGACCTGTACCGGCAGCTGGGCCTGGCCGGGGGTGCAGGCCGGCCGGGCCTCAACTTCTCCTCCTCCACAGTGGCCCGCAAACTCATCAACCCCAAGTACGCTCTGGTATCCAGCAGCCGCCAGCCCCCGGGGGAGATGATGCGCTGGGCCGCCCGGCAGCAGCAGGAGGCAAGGGGCGCCCTGGAGGAACAGGAGGCCGGGGGTGGCGAGTCTGCACGGCGCCTGGAGAGCTTCTTGAACGACCTGGTCAGTCTGGAGCAGGTGCTTCCCCCTGTGGATCCCCTCCCCCTGAGCCAAAAGGATCTCAAGGGGGTCTCTCAGCTGAAGGCCAAGCCCTGGGAGGCCCTAGGCCAAAATGGCAGAGGAGAAGCCGGCAACGGGGAGGCCGCCCCCGCCAAAGAAGGCAAGCGCTTCAGTAGCCGGTTCTTAAGCCGGCGGACCAAGAGGCCAGCGACACCCAACGGCCTGGCCAGCTCCTGCTCCTCTGAGGCCTTTGCTGATGTGGAGTTCAAGATGGGGAAGAGGCCCCTCGAGGGCTCCAGTCCTGATCTGTCAGGTAAGTCCTCTGTCCCCAGCCCCACAACAGCCCCCGTCAAAGGCAGAGGCTCGCTGGCCGTGGGTCACACAGCTCCAGGGGCCAGTGTGGCTCTGGCCTCTCAGCCTGGGGCCTTGGCCTGTCACGGCATTTGTCATGTGCTCACTGCAGTGCTGGGCATGAGGGCGGCTGGGGGCTACCTCTCTGAGTCACTCCAGTAAATAAGGAAGAGTGGAAAAAACAGAGCACACCCCATCCTAACTGAGTCTAGGGCTCCACTGAGCTAACCAATCCCTGGTCACCTGATCCCCTCAACCTAACCTATTTCTAGTCACCTCTTCAGGCCTGGTCTGGTCAGACCCATCCCGCCCACTCCCTCGTCACTGCTCTGACCACCCTCTCTGTGTCTGTGTGCAGAGAGGGGTTTGGCACATGGTTTCTCTTCTGCAAGAGAAGGCTTCCGGTAATAATGTCCTCTGTCTCTTCAGGACGCCCAAGAGCCCCTGCTTGGCTTTTCTCTCCCTCAGAGGTTGATGGTGACAGCCTGGGCTGCAGCTGGTGCCTTCTCAGTTCCGTGTCCCTGAGCTGAAAGAGTTTCCACCCTGGGATTTCTGTCCTTGGGGCTGTGGGCTTTGCAGGGATGAGACAGGGTTGTCTGAACATAGAGGCAGGTGGGAGCAGGGAACATGGCCTTTCCCTGTGCAGCCTGGGCTCTCTCTGGACTCAAGCACTGTCCACCCCCAGCTTTGATTGCCTGGACTGTAGGGGGCACTCCCAGCACCTGCTACAGTGCCCCCTCTGCTCAGGATAGGCTGCCACTCCAGTGTCTTCATGTGACCCCAGGCCTGGGCCTCTTCATGAAAGGGTTCAGCTTCTCCCAGCCCAGCCAGCAGATTTCTCCTGAGGCCTCATGTTCCCAGGAATAGACTCCTAGCTGCAGCTTTCACAGAGGCACAGTGGAAGCTTTGAGAAGTGACTTGAGGTGCATTTGGGCCCTTCTCTTCTGAGGAAAGGGTGGCCAGCCCATGCCCACGCTTTGCAGGGCCCCTGACTCCCCCAGCTCCAGATGCTTGCAGCCTCACACCTCCTGTTTAGAGGAAGGGTTGCCATGGTGAACACCTGGCAGGGAGGAGGAGGGGTGGCCCAGCCACAAAAGGGACTGATTTCCAAGTCCTGGATTGAGGTGAGGTGGAAACTTTAGCTCCCCCAGCCCCCTCACCCTGAGGTGCTGTTTCTATAGAAACAAAAGGCCCATTGTCTTGTCCCTTCCCTGCCTCTAGGGACTGTCTCTCAGCATTGGGTCCCCCAGTAGAGGGCTTAGATTGTCCCCTGCTACCACTGCTGCCTCCAAGGGCATTTTTTCCCCACCATGCCCACAACAAGCCAACCTAGACCAGACCCTCAGGAAGCCCCTCCCCAGAGCACCTGGCTTCAGACCAAGCATGTGTGAGCTCACCTGCATGCAGAGTTCAGAAGCACGAGGGACACCCCACAAGGTCAACCTTGTCCTTCTTTGCTCTCTACAAAGAGGAGTGGCCATTGCCAGCACAGCCTCCACCTACGTAGGTCCCCAGATCCCTCAAGAGGCCCCAGCTCCTTCCAAGTCCCCATTCCCCCAAAGGCTGGGACAAGGGACAGGGACTTGTCTCCCCAGAGGCCCTTTGTAGGGGCCTCCAGGAGCTCCTGGGTGCACAAGCTATTAATGCACCAACTGCTAACCCAATGGCTGGAAGTTCAAGTTCCCCTGAGCACTTTTTTAAAGGAAACCCTGACAGTCTACATCCCAAAAAGTCAGCCCTTGGAAATCCTAGGAAACACAAGTCTGCTCCGACACACATGGGTCAACCCCACTGGGTAACGGGTAGTGGTGGTTGTGGTTGTGGTTGTATACCGTTGAGTCAGAACTGACCCAAACCTGGCATTGCAGACAGTTTACTGAGGCTTAGGAGGAGATTGCCCTGTCTCTAGTAGAGCAGCTGGTGGATTTGAACCATATACCTTTCCATTAGCAGGACAATTCCTTACCACTAAGCCACCAGTTATGGTGGTGCTGGAGGAGAGTATTGGCTATCCTGTGGACGGCCAAAAGAACAAACATGTCTTGGGGAAAGTGCACCCAGAGGGCTCCTTGGAGGCAAAGATGGCGAAGCTTCATCTTACTTTGGTTATGTAGATAGGAGAGGCTATTCCTTGGAAAGGGACCTCCTGCTTGGAAAGATGGAGGGTCAGTGAAGGAGAGAAAGACCCCCAACAAGGTGGACTGACACGGTGACTTCAGCAGTGGACTCTAGTATGTTAGAAATGATGGGGTTGGCCCAGGATAGGGCAGGGTTCAGGCCAGCTGCTCATAGTGGCCTACTCAACTGGACAGCACCTAACAGCAATGACAACAAGCCACCAGAGTACCTTATTGACCCCCCAATGTGGGGGTGCGGCTGGACTATGCCAGGGCCTCTCTCTGGCAACCAAAGGTGAGTGGCTGCAATTCCTGTGAGGGTGCCTGGGCCCCAGGAACCCGAGCTTGGTTCACTCCCTAAGCAACCTCACAACTGTCATCATTAGCTTCTCTCGTAGGACCTCTGCCCAGGGAGGAACCCCTTTTCCAACTGTAAACATTTAGAGCTCACAATAGCAGCCTTGCCGATTGCAGCTGGCAGCACAGTGCTGTCCCCTTCCCCCGTGTCCTGGACGCATCCTTTGACCTGTCTGGGACCCTGACAGCTCAGATCTGTCGCTGTCCTTGGCCAGCACTGTCCTCGCTACCTCTGCCACTTGATACCTTGTCCTGGGAGGTTGGAGACAGAGTAGGTGAAACAGGAAAAAATAGCAAAAGCTAAGAGCTGACAGCCTGTAAAATAGCGTGATAAGAAGTACATAGTTGTCAAACAGCATGCAAATATTTGCGAGCTCAGGTGTGGCCCCTGGGAGAACTTCACAGAAAGGAAGTCGCTGCCTTTGCGGCTGGGGATCCGGGCAAGGGGCTGCCCTGTGGCTTAAGGGCGCACAGCTCCCTCTAGTGGCAGAAGCTGAGAGCCTTTTTCCTCTGCACTCAGCACCGTTGCTCAGGTTCCTGTCTGTACTCTTTCCACGCTCTTAGGACAGGCCTTGGGGAGCAGAGATCCCAGACCTCAGGTAGGAGAGTACCACGGAGGTCCTGGTTAGAAAGGCATATGACAGGCCCCACCCTCGCAAAGAGTCTGCACAGCAGCCCTCAGGAATCTGCATTTTAAGATCCATCCCTAAGCTCCCCCAGGGCCCTGGCCAGCTGGCTTCCATCACACAGACCGTAGCATGCGGCTGGCAGGTGATGTTCTGAGGGCAGAGACCATGGCTCCTTTGCTTTGTCTACTAGGTTGGCATGGTGCTTGGTGCAGAGTAGCTCCTTGTAAATGTGTGTGGAACAAATGAATGAATAAGTCAGGGAAACCAGTGTTGGCATTGCTGTTAGAGCCATCAAGTCAACTACCACTCACTGTGACCCAATGAACAATAGATCCAAACCACCTGCTGTCCTGTGACATCTTCACAGGCTCCAGCGCTCTCGAGGCCATTGTGGTTGTCACTCTGACACTCCATCTTGTTGCCGTTCTTTCTCTCTTTCACTGACCCTCCTCTTTTCCAAACTGTTGTTGTTGTTGTTATGTGCCGTCGAGTTGCTTGCGACTCATAGCAACCCTACGTACAACAGACCTAAACTCTGTTCTGCCCTGTGCCAATCGCACTGTCTCCGACACACTCATTCCAATTACCCCAGTCACTGAATCAATCCACCTCATAGAGGGCCTTCCCCTCCTGCGCCGTCCCTCCACCCTCCCAAGCATGATGTCCCTCTCTAAGGACTGGTCTCTCCTCACAACATGTCCAAAGTATGTCAGACAAAGCCCCAGAATCCTTGCCTCTTTCCAAGCAAGGACTGGCTCCCACTGGTAACACGCACAAAATATGTGGAAGATAATTTTACTATCCTTGCCTCTAAGTTACAATCCCTCCAAGACAAATTTGGTTTCCTTTTTGTTGTTAGGTGCCATCAAGTGGAGTGTTATTCATAGCACCGTTATAGCAACAGATCTGAACCCTCTCCTATCCTGTGCCAACCTCACAATCATGAACATATTCAAGCTTATTGCTGCAGCCATCATGTCAATCCATCTGGTTGAGGGTCTTTCACTGACCCTTCACCTTTCCAAGCATACAAAAAAATGATGCCTTTGAACTGTGGTGTTGGAAGAGAGTTTCTTTTGGTGGTGGTGGTTGTACTGTGGAGTTAGAATCGACCCATAGCTGACCCTCCAGCGGGTTTTCAGGGGCAGTTAATGATATGGGAGGAGGTTGCCCAGCCATCCCCCATGGAGCAGCTGGTGGATTCAAACATCACACCTTTGAGACTGCCACGCAGCTTCTCACCACTAGACCACCTGCACCAGTGAGCTTTCAATGAGCGGCTGGGCTCTTAATCATCTACAGTACCCAAGAGTGCCCCGTGCTGGGCAGACAGGATGTGAAATGCCATCACACAGACTCAGGGAGCCCTCACAACCAACTGGCCTGACGGCACTACTTCACCAAGACCCCCAGGGCTGTGGAACAGCTGGTGGATTTGAACTGCTGACCTTCTGGTTAGCCACTGAATGCTTAATCACTGCACCACCAGGGCTCCTCCTGGGCTGGTTCACTGGCCTCTGAAATGCTGCTGCCTCCAGGGAGGAACTTGGCATCTGCCTGGAAGGTCAAGCAAATGAAACAAGGCACCAGGGAGAGGAAGTAGGCAGGGCTGAGGCCAGGCCAGGGCGAGGAGCCATGCCAGAGGGGGCACCAGCTACGTCTCTCTTCCTGTCAGCTCAGCCTCCTGACCTAGTCTGGGGGTGCCCTAAGGAGTGGATCTGTAGAAGAGTTGGTTCCTTTTGGCCTGGACAAGGTTTGGTTCTTGGCCACTGACAATGGCCTGGTAGCCGTCACCTGGGTCCAGGGCAGGGAGGAGCCGCCAGCACAGAGTCCCGGTTGGCTTGGTGAAGTGCCTCTGCTAATGGCCCGGAAGGCGAGGCAGAGGCCACCTTAATTAAATTCACAGCTGAAGTGATACTGGAAGGTGATGTGCACACCAGGGAGACACCCCTCGCTGTGCGGAGAAGAACTGGCAGGAAATAGCAGCAGCGAGCTCCACCTGGGAAAAGGCAGCCCAGCCAAGGTGGGACAGCAACCCCCACCCCACACAGGCGAGAGGTGTCAGCACTGCCCAGCCTGGCAGAGAGTGGAGCCAGAGACAAGGAGAAATGGCCTGGCTGGACTTGGGGTGGTCAAGGAGGTGGGAATGCATCGTTGGGGCTTCTCATCTCTTTTCCCTCCGTCCACACCCTGAAGTGTAACCCTCTCTGTCCTCTCTGCCTCTACACTGTCCCTGCCCTGTAAGGCCTCCTCAAGGGGCACCGGGTCTAAGGAAGGAGCTGAGCCTTTGGGTTTAGAAGGCCAGAAGCTGGCACTGATAGTCTCTGCGCCGTTGGCCTCTCCACCCTCAGCTGTAAAATGGGACTGCGGAGGTCCATCTCACAGCAGTGCCAGCTGTGCGGATACAGGAGAAGGACTGTGGTTGTGCTTTGGGAGTGGTGAAGTGGCACGTGGTACAACCCACCGACTGACCACCTTCTGGCCAGACTTTGGAGCCACTCATTGTGACTGACTCCTGAGTCCCTTGTCCCTGTTGTGCCCAGCTGTGACTTTCCCTGACAAGCTGGTGGCTGTGTGGGTGGGCCTCAGAGTAAAGCACTGAATTAATTACTACCTGGAAAGGATGGTGGTTCAAATCCACCCAGGGGCATCTCACAAGAAAGACCTGGCAATCTGCTGATGAAAGATAACGCCTATTGACAACCCTGAGAGGCATTGAGTGGCTGGTATTAGAAATCTAATGTGCTGTGTGAGCTGTCACCAAAAACACAGTACAATTCTTTTTCAAAGAAGGAAACCCTTACCAGGCACAGTCCCGCACTTGCACACTTGGGGTTGCCTGTCAGATGCAGCAGATGGCACTGATTTGGTTTTGGTCTGAGGTGTTGGAAGTCACTAAGGGGTACCACAACCCTGTGGTTGCCAAACTGAGGGGTTCTTCCTGAAGCTGCAGGGAAGGAAGACTCCCCTCCCCCGCTCTCATGCCTCTGGGGCTCATCACCCCATCCCTTATCCCTTGTCTCCGCAGGTAAAGCCAGTGTTGTTTCTGCGAAGCCCAACAACTGTGTCATTTCCTGAGCTACAGGATGGTGGCAGGAGGGCCCACGGGCTCCAAGGCTGGGCCCGCCCCCTGCGCTGTGCCCTACCAGGACAGACCCTGCGCCACTTTGCACATTGGACTCCAGGCCAGCCTTCTGCCTAGCAGCCTCTGTCTTGGTCTCAGGGACCCCAAATCCCAGACAGGAGGGTTATCTGCATCTCAAAACAATCCCACTCCAGAGACCTCCCGCCCCAGACAGGGGTCTCTGCCTCCTCACCTCCTTGTTTACACAGAATGGGGGAAGCTCTCCAAGTGCCTGCCCCCCCTTTCTGCCTGGCCTCTCCCTGCATTGGGCTGGCCCCTGCTGCCTCCGGCTTCCACACAGAGTGAGGGTCCTGCCTTTGTGCCTTAATGTGATGGACTCCCTGACTCTTTTGCGGGCTCCCTCCCTACACTTCTGGTCCCTCCAGGAGGCTGGTGGGGTAAAGGAAGAGGACAGTCTGGCTCTGGTCTCAGGTGGAAGGTGTCTGGAGCCGTCTCCTTCAGGGTCCTCCAGCGCACTTTCTGGGTGCTCCTGCACAAAGCCCAGCAGAAAGAAGGGACGTTCCCCCAGTCCTGACACTGCCATTTGGGATGCCCTCACCTGAGGTCTCCTGTCACTCTGCAGGGTCTGGGTGTCTTGGCGCTCCAGGGTCAGCATCTCTGTGGTGACTGCCCACCTCGGGCCTGTTGAGGGATTCTTGTGGTGCTTTCACCTGTTGTCCCCCCACAAGGAGAGGCGTGCCCGAGGTGGGGTGGGTGGTTGGTCCAGGCAGCGGGGCTCTGTAAACAGGTCTGCTTGTCCTCCCTGGAACGGGCCTGAAGCCTCCTGTGCCTTCTCTGTTACACCTGCCAAGCAGGTGGGTCAGTGATGCCATGGTGGCCAGTGACCAGCCAAAGTACCCACAAACTCTTACCCACTGTGAGTGGCAGGGCTGGGCAAGGGGGAAGAATGGACAACCAGGAAATTGCCAGACGGCAGACTCTGTCCCTGAGACAAGCAGAGGCCCAAGGAGGGAACAGCTTTCCCGGCCTCTCATTCTGCACTAAACTTCTGTCCTTAGTTCTTTCCTTCTGGGAAAACCCAAGACACTGCCAGCCCCGTGGTGGACAGACAGACTTCTAGAAGACAGCTGACTGGGAGCAGGAGAAAGGGGGCCGTTGGCCTGCCCAGGAGAGCAAGGGGAAAGGGGGACAACACCTTAGCTCACCTGAGAAGAGGGGTGTTGTCAGGGGGAGCCAAGGTCCCGGGACTCCTCTGTCAGTCCTGGGTCTGGGGGCAGGTGTGCAGCCCCCAGCCCACCTCTTTGAGTTTCCGTGAGGATTAAATGCTTCTTGGGAAGCACTGCCTGGACAAGAGACCTGGAGTGTGGCCATGCTTGTTCTGGGAGGGAGGGACGACACCTCGGCATGTGGGGTTCACCTGACCCTCATCTTCTCAAGTCCAGACAGTATGATAGAGACCCCAGCTCTAGTCAGATGCCACACACTTCCAGGGATAGGGCCCTGGACAAGGCACTGCTTCTAGAAGGTTCTGTGGAGGCCTTGTTGAAACTGTGGGAGAAGCAAGCCTGCTCCTGCTCCCTCTCCTGACCCAGGAGGTCAGGTACCGCTACACCCCCCCCATCTGGGAGCATGGAGCCAGGCCTCCTGCCTCAGTTTCTCCACGTGCCACAACAGGGTTGCTGTCATTTTCCCTATGGGAAAGAGGTGGGGAGGGCAGGCCAGCCCAGAAATAGAAGCAATTCCATGTAGCAGGAAAGGTACCAGGCAGGGCACACCACTCCAGCCTCAGTTTCCCACCTTTACAGAGGTTTGAGCATTGATCTGTGCCCCTTCCCCACCTCCAAATCACTCCCTGCAGGTGTTGCCAGGAGAGGCCCCGGCAGAGATCAATGAGGGTCTGAAGTTGCCGATCGCTTCTGTTCTTGCTCCTCTCCCGAGGCTGAGCCTGTTGGTGGCTCAGGCTTCACCCTCTGGGCCTCACCCTCCGTCTTCACACTTGGACGTGCTCGCTGAGATGTCTCCTCCCTCATCGGGTCTCAGAGGTCCATCTGGCCTTCCCAGCTGGATGGCAAGTTCAAGGACAGGTCGTGCCCTTGGTCCCATCACAGCAGCCTCCACAGGGCTGGGGGCATTGCGAAGTTCCAGGAGGGACAGGAATGAGATCCCAGAGATCTCAGTGGGTGGCCTAGCTGCCACCCCACCAAGCTGCTGCCTTACTGGGGGGACAGAGGTTAGTGTGTTCACTCACCCTTTATGGTGCTTTCAGAGGGTGTCTGCTGACAACACACGCCACACTATGCTGGTACAAAGCTCCACAGACTCAACACCATGCCGTGCCTGTACACAACTCCACAGACTCAACACCATCCATGCCAATACACAACTTTAAAGACTTAACTCCATGCTGTGCCTGTACACAACTTCACAGACTCAGGGATGAACAACATCCGAGATTTGGGAGAAACTGCACCCTCCCACCCCGGGAGAAGGTGGGTGTTTACCCAGCAACAGGGAGTTGCAGCACTGGGACCAGGGACCAGGCTCTGCGACTGCTCGGCTTATTCCTGAAGGAGCCGTGGGCACCCAGGGCTGCATCTGAGGTGTGGTGGGCCTGGCGCGTGCCCCAAACACCACCGTGCAGTTTCTATTAACCATCACCAGCTGTACAAGATTGTTCACCAGGTTAGAACTGGTGTCTGTGTGTAAGAGCCCTTTCTTGACTCCAAGGAGCCATCAGGGTGGCATAATTGGCTGGTGACCAAATGATCAGTGATTCAAATCCAACAGTCACTGCATGGGATAAAGACGAGTGCTCCCCTCCCGTCAAGATTTACAGCCTAGGAAAGCACAGAGGGTCCCCGTAAGTCTGAACTGGGGGGTGCGGGGGCTGCTGTCCTGACTTGAAGGCTTCTCTAGCTGCCCCCCCTCCCCACCCAACCACCCCTCAGCCTCCACCTCCCAGGTCAGCCCTACACTGAGAGCTGCCCAGCCCAGGCCTCGTGTCCACCTAGCTTTACCTGGGACAGTTTCTAGAGGCTGTGGTTGTTCTTAGGTGCCTTCAAGCCAAGTATGACTTAGCAACCCTGAGAACAACAGATCTGACCCCTGCCCTATTCTGTTCCGTCCTCGCCACCTCTGACACGTTGGGCCCATTGCAGAAGTCACTGTGCCGCTCCATCTCATTGAGACTCTTTCACTGACCCTCCACCTTTCCAAGCATGATGTCCCCCTCCGAGAAGTAACTCCTCCCAGCCACGTGCCTGAAGTATGTGAGATGAAGCTTCACCATTTTTTGCCTTCAAGGAGCACTCTGGCTCCTATTTGTTCTTCTGGCAACCTGTGGGTTATTCAGTGCTCTTCTCCAACACAACCCAAGAGGGTAAGGACTGTTTTCTCCTGCCGTCACCCTCCATCAAACTGGAGTAGAAGGTGGCCTGAGGCCAGAGAAGGGTCAAGGAGCTAAAGCAATGTGGAGCGGTAATGAGGGAGGGACCAGCAGTTGCTTTTGTGGGTTTTTTAAAGTAATCTTTCTTCTGTTAAAATGAGTGAGGGGCCCCAAGGCGAGGTCTGGCTGTTGGGTGAATCATCCCGGGTGCAGGATGGGAGTTGGATGTTTGGGCAGAGGCAATTCTAGTGCCTGCCATATGCACCTCTGCGGGTGGGCAGTGAGTGGTTGAAGTGCTTGCTGATACCCAGATGGTCAGCAGGTGGAACCCAAGAGGTGTGTTGATCTTGCATAAAGACCCCAGCCCAGGGATGCTCCGGGGCGGGGCTCCTCTGCAGGGCAGTGGAATCAACTCATCGCAACATGTTTGAGGTTTGTTTGTTTGTTTCTTGAACACCTACTGCAGCCGCCATCATGCTAGATGTTGCAGACTCGGGGCTATCGAGTCTGAACCCCCTCACCGCTGACCCTCCACTGGGTCTCCAAGGAGGTAGAGTGCACCCCTACTCCTTCCACAGACCGCTGGTGGATTTGAACTGCTGGTGATGCGTGGCCTGTGGCCTGGCACACAACACCCTAGGGTTTGCCCCAGAGCTCCCTGGGGAAAGTTAGTCACAAGAGATTTTAAAATAAGACCAACTCAGGAAAGGACCCTGGACAAAGCTTTGCTACATACATATTTGAGGACGGGGTCCCATTAAAGGGCTCTAGTGACAGTGTAACAGGTCAGGCTGCTGAACTATAAGGCCAGTGGTTCAAATCCATCAGGCTGTCCTTACAGGAAAGGTAGGCCATCACTTCCTGTAAAGATGCATTGTCTCAGAAACCCAATGCATGTTGGAATTGAGGCAAGGGGACTTTCGTCGAGGGGTGGCAGGGTGGGTGTGGGAGGCTTATTAAGCTGTGTGACGAGCAATGCAGATCTTAACCTCGTCTTCTGGACCCTGTGACATGCTGACCTGATCTGCTCCTCTCCCGAGCTCTCTCAGCCTGGCACTGTCCACATTTTCGGGTTGGGGACTGTTCACTGAGGGAGGGCTGCCGCACCTTGGAGGACGCTGAGTGGCATCCCTGACCTCTGCCCGTGCTGGGTACCAGGAGTAGCCCTCCTGATGAGACAACCCCAACCACATCCCTGCACCCGAAAGAGCCTGCTGCCACCTGTCAATTCTGAGTCCGCGTCCCTTCCATTGGGCTTCTGAGGCTGTCAATCTTTACTGGAGGAAACCACCATCCCTCTCACCCAGAGCAGCCCGTCAATTCCAACTACTGACCTTCCTGTCAGCAGCGCAATGCTGAACGCACTGTGCCACCAGAACTCGTTCAAGATGCCCTACGTGTTGCCAGATGTCCCTTGCAGGGTCTGATCGTCGGGGTGAGGACCCATTGCTGTCCGCGTGCAGTGTCTCCCTGAGCCCTTAGACCTTGCTCCTCTGCCTGTCAGCATCTGAGACTCGGTCACCTGGGACATTCGCATTAGTGTCTCCCATCTCTGCTCCCCTTACCTGGCCTGGCTCGTCCCTATGCTGACTCCCCAGAACCCGAGAA